GGTGATGGGAGGGTGCTCTTCATTCGTTTGCCAGTGAGTTTAGCATCAGAACACCTGCCGTCAGGTGAGCGCTGTCGCTCTGCGGCACTTGTTTTATTATCTTGTCCTGTTCCTAAATGATGATTACAAACAGCATTCAGCACAATTCAGATACAGATCTGATAATGTATTGATCACGTAAAAAGAAATTGGTTAGACAGTAACCATTTTTAATGATTCATCATTTCATAACACATCTACAGTAATTTGTATGTATGCCACGTATCACTATAATAAGCACAAGCAGGTGCTCTGGTCCCATCACACCATGCTTTCAAATCATAACTCTAACACGGAAAAGCCCCGAATATTTAAATAAAATTTAAGAAACGGCAAACAAGTATAACCAGTACACTCCATAAACCCAATCGATATGGGTGCGTACTCCTTACATTTGATGACACAACACACGTGATTTTGCACTACAAATTACACTTCAAAGTATGACTTTATACCAAAAATATCTGATAACAGTTAAGGTATACTGATAATCCAAAGCTGCAAGGGACCTGAGATACACTGAGAGCCAAAGATGTATACGTAAACCACGACTACATTTATACACACAAATTTAAACACAAGTTGGTGAGAACATTTGCAAAGCACGGTTTTAAAACAGAAGCATCTTAGTAGGTGCAACAGGTCAACTTATGACATAGTAACTGAAGTGAGATGAGGGCAACTGTGAGATTTTTGTTCATGATATGAAGATGATATCATAAGATAAGAAAATAATAAATACAATTCATATCTTATCAGCATAATCAACATAGCCGAATGAATGGTTATATAACAGGAACCTAAACATTTTGAAAATCACTTTATGCCATACAATAACTTGATCCAGACCACAACAATTTTAAATAGACATGATGGCCAAAAAAAATCACTACTATATAAACAGTAAAATATTTTCGATGGCAATAATGTTGAACATTTTTACATTTAAAGTTTCGTCGCGTTTTAGAAAAACTCGAGTGCTATATGCATTGAGTTTACAATATAGTCGGACAATTTCATAATCTAGTACATCTGCGCAAATATACAAAGATGGTTATTAAATAACAGCTTCCACTCGGGTTTGCACACTAATCTGTACATGCGTGTGCGTTCGTAAGTGCGCGCATGTGCAGTGCGTATATATATGATATTTATAGCATTATTTAGACACATTACAAAATAAAAACAAACTAAATGTTGTAAATATTGTAATAATTACATACTTACCACATCACCAAACTGGCCTTGAAGAGATTTTCTTAACGTTTAGTAAATGATGCTACGAAAGGTGTTTTTACATCAGCGCTGGCTATGATCAACAGAAAATCAACAATCTAGTTTTAACAAGGCACCCCCCCGAACAATACGCAGACAGGACAAGACAACAGATGACGTCGCGTGCTAATACGTCTGCTACATGCAAACAGGTGAGCGAAGATTCCGTCGCACAGCTCCTCCTCAAACACATGCGTCGAAAACATTCAATGCGTCGATCACCTCTCACACTCCTCCCCCACTTCTTCCCACCGGCATCTTGTTGTCGCGCAGAGAGTACTTGGCCGCTAAGGCAAACCTGCTGTTTGAGACGGCGCCAGTCTTTAACGCACTCATCAACTGTAATAGAGAATGCGGGTCAGTCTAAGAAAATAGTATCGGTGAGCGGCCACAGATGGCAGCGACAGTGGCAGTTCCAAGAACGAAGTTCCGAGATCGATACCAGCAATTCAATGGGTGTCACTTTCCCCCGGGCGTAGAGGGAGGGTGCCGCTACGTGGCAGCACTAGTCACTTTCCCCGGGCGTAGAGGGAGGGTGCCGCTACGTGGCAGCACTAGTCACTTCGTACACTTCCATCATTCCACAGTCATACTTCCATGCTAGACATGGCCTTATTTCCCTAAGCCTAACCCTAACCCTGACCCTGACCCTAATCCAAACATTAGTGCTGCCACGTAGCAGCACCCTCCCTCTACGCCCGGAATTCAATTTCCCATTTTCGATCTTCCAATCTACGAACGAAGAAATCATTTCTCTTCTGCTCATAAGCAAGGTGGCCTACGATGGAATTTCCACCAATTGCCGGCTACATATTACCAACAGTCATGCAGTTGCCACAACCACCTTAATATAACTATATTATTGTCATTCAAGTCCACCACCACCTGCAAAAAACTGTACAGTGTAGCATGCAATAGAGAAAGGTCCAGAAAGTGCAGCAAAACGATAGACAGTAGTATGTTAGTACAAGAGACAAGAATTTGTTTAATTACACAGCTTTTATGGTTATGTACCAATACAAAGGCTAAACACTATAGCACTAAATAAATGATCTAAAACAATACACAAGTTACTATTTTATACAAGTATATTATAGTATTCTCTACATGTTATATATTATTATCAGGAGTTAATATTGACAAAAATAAATTTGTCATTATTAACTCCAGATATTATATATATAAATATCACGTGTGTGCACACAGATTAACAATAACGTTTCATTATAAATCTTGCATTCATTTCATCATACTTTTTCACGTTTCTGAGTGGCCTGGTCTCATGCTGAACCAATGCCACTCATCATTTACCTATTTACAAATTTCGTAAGAGTGAAATTCTCTCAAAATTGCTTTTTCTTTGTAGGTAGCCCCGTTCTAGTGGGACCTTTAGTGCTATCCTCTTTCCACAGTGTCATCAGCTATAAATAATACAAAAAATAAAAGCAACGTAATGTCAAGCAGAAACCCTCAAACCAGTCCTCAATTTAAAAAATAAAATAAAGTCCTAGGCAATTTTGTGTGACTCGATCCATGTACTTGAGTGTGGTATTTCATGGTAAAGTTTGATGACTTGCTAAAACTACTACTTGTTAACCCAATTTTCTGAACGGCAGACCAGTTATATCAAAAAAGTAGACATGTGCCCACAAACAATGACCCTTGCATATATCTTGCACTAATTCTATACTTGTACTCAGTATCAGTGGAATCACTCCTCACACGTTTATACACACCAAGCTCTACGTAGGTCCCTTGTCTAACATTAGTCGTTCGATTATAAAATAAACCACACATCACACAACCACACAGTTACTGAAATTATGCTTCATGTAAAAAGCTCAACATGCACGCTAAAGATTTTTACTACTGCAATTTCAATACGAGACACTGGTTTGAGGCTTGCGTGTAAAGCGACGACAGCAAAGCGAGTAAGAAGGAATAAGCTGCTACTATCAGTAAACAAAAAGCTCAGACATGCACATAGCAAATTGGTGAGAACATTCACAGCACACACAGCATGCACAAACACACAAGCACATGTTAGAGTAAGCACTAGGCAACTAGAGTAACTAGACAAGTTAGATCGAGTACTATGCAAATACATTAAAAGTTGCGATCATCAGTTAATCGAATTTGCTTCGCTAGCAAATTTGTAAACCCATAAATATTAATGAGTTATGGCTGTATGGGTTCTTCTTTATAGCTGCAACATGAGCGAGGAAGGAGAAGGGAGGAAGGAAGAGGGGAAGCAGTTTTTGTAATGCACGGTCACTTTGAACACACAACTGTTAGAAGAGCTGAGGAAATTATTCCCATTTGCCAGTTTGCTTGCTGCACGAGTAAAGCACGTACAAATTTGTGAGTGGCTCTATAGTGTTAGACAGCGCTCAGGTAAGGAGGTGGATACGGGACTACGAGGCTACATGATATATGAATATACGCAGTAGGTGCGCACAAACAGATGTACTTCACCGTTAGTTTTTTGTCGCATCTCGATCAAAAATACACGTGCCGCGATTGGCCGCACAAACATACCGCGAGCACGGATGACCCACACAGTTAAACACCGAACCAGACCGCGTCCACGGCAACCGAACCGACATATACCGGACCGCTGGCTGGTTGCGCGGATGCGATGCTGCACACGCCGCTTCGCTCAGCGATCGTAGATGGCACCGCCGGACACTGCGCGACGGCGTAGGGGGGCTACGGGCGTGGCGGCGGCCATGACCGGGAAGTAAGGGGTTACCTGCAGGAACTCTCCAAGCTCGACCTTGCCGTGTCTGCTGACATCCACTTCTGACAGGATCTCGTGTAGCTGGGCCTCCATCACCGGCTCGCCCATCATCTGTGCGACAACGCTCACAGCTGAGTCATACACACGTGTAAAGCGGCGAATCGTGGCCAACTCGCGCTGAGAAGAGTCGATATCTATCATGCCTACAATTTCCCCCCAACTGATCCAGAAACAGCCCGGCTTGCCGGACGAAGCCGGACGATAAGAGCAGTCTTCGATTACGTGTGGTTTGGTACGCTCGCCGTCCGATTGTTTTCCCCGGCTATAACCATGACTGTTGACATGCTTCTCATTCTTGCTGGAGATTATTCTTGTACTAGTATAGAGTATGTATGAGATTATTCTTGTAATAGTATCTTTGTATAGAGGAGTACCTGGCCATTGCCCGGGTTCTTTTCTCAGCCGCAGAGCCCGTCTCTGCACCCATCGTTGAGGCAATAAGGGCAATAGATTACGAGATGTGTGAAGCACAGACATTAGTAGCATGAAGAAATAGAGTACCGAGTGGAGTAGTAGATGTTAATTGGCATTGCGACTAGTGCGACTACTTGCGACAATTTCATGACTACACGTTTGTGATTTCCCATCATTAGCTTCCTGCGTGCATGCAGACTACCACCCTAGTTACCAGCGTGTGAGCGGTAGCAGCTTTTCCATCTGTCATTGCCTATCATTGTGAAGCATCATTACGTAACACCTACCGTTTTCTGGGTTAGACAGTCATTATTTTCATGTTTACAGAAAATCGGATTCCATAAATGATTTTTTTTTAGCCTAACCCCCATCTATAGGGTGCTAATCGATTACTTACTCAAGTACTTGACTTATTAATACTTATGATTACTTATTAGTACTTTATCTTTAATTTTTATTGGGTACTTATCGAGTATGGTATCGTCGTAGGTTCAGGGGAGGTTCTGCTAGGCACGCACGGCCACACACACACACTCACACACACACATTCACGCGTACATACGCAGACGCAGACACACGCAAGCAGCCAGGGAGACATCTCGGTCAGATTAGTGCAGAACAGCGACAATGACAACGCTACTCACCGTGAACATCTCTCTCAGGTCGTTCACCGTGATGTGGCCCTTGTTCTGCGTGTCCATGTTCTTGAACTGCGTCACGTACATGTTGAATTCCTCGCGCGAGAAATTGATCGGAACTTTGCTGAGACCGCGGCCCAGCTTGGCGCCCATCTCGGTGTTCAGAAACTCGCACGCGTAGTCCATTTGCCGCTGTGAACGTTAACGCAGACGTTTAAGGAATTGTTAGACAGCAATCCCTCATGCACAATTCTAAAATTGTGAAAATTATGCAAACCGAAAGTTTTTTCAGTGCGGAGTATCACCCGTGCCGTGGGCATGATATGGCAAATACCGAGCTACCTGCTTTATCGGGGCTTAGGATAAATTGGCGCATTACTTATATGACTGGTGTCTTTGATAAACAATCCTTATGCAAATTATTTAAATCGGCTAGAGGGGACACGACTTCAGTTAAATGGGATATTTTCTCGTCTATGTTGTAAAAATTCACTACAACTTATTTGTATTGCTACTTTCATAACATTTCTTCAGCAAAAAACTAAACGCACTGTGCCACGGTCACCATGGGTACACGATACCTGCTGCTCCTGCTTGCTCCAGCCCAGCTCCTTCGTCATGACCTCGATCACCTGGGGCAGGGCTTCCTTGGCGGCAGCGTGGTTGAGAAACGCGAGCCTGAGCCGCCGAGAGATGACGTCGACCGCCGTGCACGCGTACTCCTTCATCGCCCAGCGCACCTGAACGTTAACGTCGGCGATCAATTGAAATTACTCTTGAAAAATTACTTTGACAAATTACACGGCATTGAAACGACGAGTATCAACATATTCCAGCGTACATGGAAATGACACGGATTAACAACGGAATTCAAATGCCATATGGTAGTATACATCTTAGGGTATTTTCTACTGACAGATAAGTGGTGTAAATTGAACTTTGCCCTATCCGGACAAGATGGAATGGATGCGTATTTTGAGGTCTTAAACGAGACTATGGAGCTGTGTGGACTGATCAACTCTCTCTCCTTTTCTCTCTCTCTCCCCCTCTCTCGTTCATGCTTTTTCTCTCTCTCCCCCTCTCTCTTTCTTGCTTTCTCTCTCTCTCTCTCTCTCTCTCTTTCTTGCATTCACTCTCTCTCCCCCTCTCACTTTCTTGCTTTCTCTCTCGCTCTCTCTCTCGCTTTGTCTTTCTTGCGTTCTCTCTCTCTCTCTCTCTCTCTCTCTTTCTTGCGTTCTCTCTCTCCCTCTCTGTACAAATATGACTTATACCACAGGTAACTGATCCTGGCATCCAGGATTGAACTGACTGACAAAACAGACAAACAAAATTCCTCGATGACTGTGCATGTTATGATTCCCACCTATCACTCCATGCATCCTATGTGATATTGCATGTAGCAAAGCTACCTCAAAGTGACCCAGAGCAAAGCCACTTGATATGCAAACACCAGTATTGCCACGGCTGGGCTTAATCCACCCTACCAACTAGGCTACTCTACTACAGTTAAGAGGTGATACCTCTGCCTCGATGTAGGGGTACTCAACATGCAGCCTCTTTCCAACGACTGGCCATCGCTTGCCCGTCAGCGAAGCGCTCTTGGCTACGTCAAAGGCACGATCACCATAGTCGTGGGCCAGATGTTTAGCAACCTGAATAGAAAAAAGTGTCATTAGGAAAGGGCCACCTGAAGTTTAAACGTAATTGATAAAAAAAGGCAAGTCTGAATTACGGCATAACACACATCATCATTACTCTCTATTATAGTCACTGCTATTAGACTATCGTAATGAAAATTTTCTCAAAATTATTATGACAGATTAACACTCCGCAGTCTGAAGTTCAAAACTAAAGATATTAACAATAACACATGTGCTGATTTTGAAGATTCATGCAGTTGCACGTCTGCCAAATTGTCTTTGAACATTTGCTGAAAAAATACGGTAATTCCGTGAGGTCGTGCTCTGGAACAAACTAGTTAGTATATAGCAGAATTTTCAGGGAGTCACACGGACTCCTGCATATGTCAAATCAGGGAGTCCGACAGTAAATCAGGGAGTATTTGACTCCGGACTCCTGTTAATTTCGCACCCTGATATAACTAACACAGTCTGCTAAACTTGTGTGCGTATGTACATACTGGCATCGGTTACTCACCTCGCTCTCAAGTCCAAAGTCCTGCACGAGTCTGATAAACATTGTCGGCGAATACTCGTGAGCGCCCTCTAGCAGCAGACCTGACGTTCGCGACGGATGCGGCGGCGGCTCCAGGCCGCAGGCTTTTATAGCGGCATCGACGGCTTCCTCTGCCATGTGTCGATATGTTGTCCACTTGCCACCTGAATACAGAAAGTCTGACACGTAAACACGTTGTCAACTAGTCAACTATTCCCCCCCCCCCCCGACTAGTTGTGCGTCTCTCTGACAACGCTGGAGTGTGTGACCCTCAGGTGACTGAGCGAGTGCGAATCTTCGTCATTGATCACGCGAGACACCAACTTACAGACTACATGTGTAATCCTTTCACGAGTAATAACACGTCAATAAAGAAAAACACGAGAAATGAAAACATATCACGCTGGGAACTGCAATCAAACTATAAACACAGTCGAGGGGCTGCACCTGCCTAGAAAACCGCCACGGCGGCAGCGTTATGTGCTAAAGCGAATGTTGGTAATTGGTGTAATATCCAGATATCTGCCATCCGGAACACAGACTCGCAGCAATTTTGCGAAGTGACATTTGACTTGGCACATTGTGCACTTTTGGTTAGAATTACGAAACTAGGTGAACCAGGTGGCGATGTTCAATTGGCACTACATCAGAAAATCTTCAGGACCTATTGTAGCATGCGTGTGCAAAGTTTCACAATTCTAACCAAAAGTGCACAATCCATGTGCCCTACTACATTTTACTACTACAGTTTACCATACGGCGGGCCCTCACAGAAACGTGCCACCTGTTCTTAAACTCGTGACAGCCAGTTTTGCGAAGTGACATTTGACTTAAATAAAGCCATCCCACTAGGACATATAGGTATATAGCCATTACAATAAATATATTCCTAATAAAAAGCCATTCCATAGAGTGCGAGATAACCGAGAGATTACCGTACCGCATCCCTCACGTACCAGCTGTTCTTAAACAACGGCATTGCTAATTGCACTGAGCAGTACTAATTACATTAACATTGCTAATTGCGTCGACACGAGTACCTGCGATAGTGACCAGGTTGCTGTCGCTGATGATGATCACGTGGTTGCGAGCGATCGCCTCCGTGCTCTTTGCGTTCGGGTCCAGCACGAGCGGACGGATTCCTGACCACGCAGCGAGAACGTCGCCCCGCCGCACTGCAAGCGCAATCACAGTCACAGTCACAGTCACAGTCACAGTCACACTCACAGTCACAGTCACAGTCACAGTCACAGTCGCGCGGAACAACGATGAGCCACGCGCTCGCTCAAACAAGGGTGAGCCATCCATGCGTGCACTCACTATAACAATGCCTTTACCCGCATACTTCAGTTCTAGCCGCGCCTCTAAAACCCGTCAACCCTCAAAGGTTTCTTTACTCGCCGAACCCCGATCAAAAACATCCCTGCTTTGAAAGCTTGAGATACACGTGTACTTTTTTCTACCGACAATGGCACGAAACGCATATTCCAACGAGCTACTGCCACGTATCGGCAGAAAATGGCACTAACGAAAAGCGAGTTAACGTGAAGACCCTAACCCTGACCACATTACAGGGTAGCACCGAAAAGTTATCAAAGTAACCAAATTATCACTACTCAGTAATAATTAGTGCTCGATTAGTAATAATAAGTAACCAATATAAAGAGGAGAAGAAGGGGAAGACCCAAGGAGACCCGGAGAAGGACCATCGAGAAGGAGATGCGAATTTGTGACCTGTCATGGGACACGCTGAGGCCACAAGCAGTGGACCGACAATGTTGGAGATCTCTTGTCACTGCCCTATGTGCCACCTAGGCACCTTTGAGGGATAACATAACTATATAAAGAGCTCGAAGAGGTAACGTCAGTGGTCGCCCGCCACGACGATCGCCGACGACACGGCTCACCTTCGACGTCGGGACTCAGGTAGTTCCTGATCTCGTTGAGGATGAACTGGATCTCGGCCTCGGTGGGGCTCGGGTTGTGGGTGACCTCACACGGCTGGTCGGTCGTGCCTGCGATCGTCACCTTCTCCCACGGCAGGAAGAAGATCACGCGGCCATCGCTCGTCGACGGATCCAGCAAACCCATCGAGTCCGGACTGCAGCAACGACGAATATATATATATATATATAATTTATATGTGTGTGTGTGTCTGTGTGTCTGTGTGTGTATATACATACATACACGTACACATGCGCACGCACACGCACACACGAGCACGCGTGCATTAGGTTAGCTAGGTGTGAGGGCGTCGGCTTACCGTTTGCTAATATATACTCCAAGTGATCAAATACAGCTCATATATACGTGTGTGCGTGCGTGCGTGCGTGTATACATGCACACATGCACGCACGCACGCACGCACACACATATATTAGATGTATATATATTATATATGGATATACATACACATACACGTGCGCACGCATGCACGCATGCACACACAAATTTATATATAACGTTTGGAAAGCATTATTATCCCATGAGAGCGATAAAGTGGAAGATATTCGTCGTCAGGTTTAGTGTCCGAGTGCATACCAGTCAATGACATAAAAGTAACTGTGTGCACAAGAAGCATTAATAACAAGATCAAAAGTAGATGATTAACAGAAGCTAATTTAACTTCTAAGATTAAGTGAGAAGGTTAATTCCGGCAGCATAGCATCTGACGAGAATCTCACTGTTTTGTCTCACCTATAGTAGTCCGGCAGAATGATGTGAACACCTGAACTCGGCTGACAAATGTTCTTCGTGTGTGGATTGTCAAGCTTGCGCACAAAGTCAGTGAACGGTCCGGTGGCATTTATAACACACTTGGCCCTCACTTCAAACTCTTTTCCTATTACAGAGCAAAGCATTTGTCAACGATTAAACATAAATATTGCCAAACAAGTCTGCAGCCACAGCAATACAGCAATATGAGATCTACCCAACAGCATAAACAGTTTACATAAAGGGACTACCAATACTTGCATCATACAAAATCACAGTACCACCACCTTCTCATCAAACATCCCGCACTCAAGCTAAATAGGCGCCCCCCCCCATCCCCCGCCGCCGCCGTACTTGTGATTGTATCGTATCCCTACAGAGGGCGCCGTACCTTTGATCGTATCCTTACAGAGGGCGGCGTACCTGTGATCGTATCCCTACAGAGGGCGCCGTACCTGTGATCGTATCCCTACAGAGGGCGCCGTACCTGTGATCGTATCCCTACAGAGGGCGAACCTGTGATCGTATCCCTACAGAGGGCGCCGTACCTGTGATCGTATCCCTACAGAGGGCGCCGTACCTGTGATCGTATCCCTACAGAGGGCGCCGCAGACGACGCGCTTTCCCGACGCGTCGGCTTTCTTCAGCAGCTGCAGGACCTCGACGTGATTGGCCACCGTGCCGCCGAGGCGGGCGGCGGTCAAAGCGATGGCGACGTTCATCCGGGCGTCGTTGTGCTGACCTGAAACGACAGCGGCACTATGGAGACGGTCCCCCGGGGAAATGCTCGACCGTCACAGGCATGACGACAACCCCCTGAACACCTAGATAAGGTTCATAAGTAATTTACCTAGGAGTCCTCCTGACGAATTGATTCATTGATTGATTGAGTCATTGACGCATGAGTTCATGGTGGCTGTATATCAAAGTAAGCAATGAGCAATATGCAGCAATAAAGGAAACTAGCTAATTACCTATGTGTTGCCGGCTAATCCATCTACGCGTAATATGATGGCAGAGAGAAACCAAAATAACATCAAACTGCTAATGCATCTGCTAGCACACGATTTAGAAAGCAACAATAGCAGCTTTTTAGACAGGCTCTCCGTGCTCCAAGTATTACACAGAGAATCCCAAAACACACGTTTTTTATGGTACTTTTTTGATAGTTTATCATTAGCAAAGCAGTCTATTTACGTTGCTTCAAAGCAACGAACCAGTAACCCTAGCAAACAGATATATAACATAAACGTTTAGATGTCTGCAGAGCTTTGCCACACCTACAGTACAGTCTGTGGCATGGTATTGAGCAAAGAAGACCGTAGAAACGTTTCCTGTATGGCTTACATAAATGCAGTACACTACAATCAATATTAGCTTCCTGTCTGTCTTGCTAACTATTAGTATTAACGTGAGTCTGCATAGCAATGCGCAGAGACTGCACTCATGAAGAATCCGAGTAATATCGAAAATCATTAGTGTCCAAGCCTGACGGAAAGGCATCCCCATTACTGACTACTGTTAAACCAAGCCACATAACAACATGTGATTACTGAAGATCATGTAAACCTGCACTCATAATTTAATCGTTGTTTAATAGAATTGACAAAATGCTTTTAACAGTGAGTGCTATATGAGCTTACTTAGCAGACAAATCAGTAAACTGCCTCGACACAGATAGTATTCATGAGAGAGATGTTCAGACAAATCACGCATGATTTAAGTCAAAGCCAATCCTCTCATGGTACGTGTTTGTTCCTTCAAGATGGACAAACCTCGCTTAAATATCCTATCTGAGCAGAACGAGCAGCATATTTAATAGCAACAGTTAGAAATTGCTTGTGTATGTGGATTCTTGAAAATTGAACTCCGTAGTACTACTTTCTTACAATACTTGTGAATTCCTGATGAAATGTTGTGTGTGATCAGCAATGGTTTAAATTTGTTGCATCAACAGAAACGAGCTCACAAGAAAGAAATATCAATGGGAATTATCCACTTTTTACACAAACATACATGCGTTTATAATCTGTGATGATATGAAATCATCACTCCAACCTTGGCTGTGCTTTAATAGCCACCATATTTTATGGATTCACCGAGCACTGGTCCTCTGCAATCATTTCTACAGGTACATCATACCAGCAGCACAAAACCTGTGACAGTGTGAGAGAGTAAAGTCAAGTGTACGCACCATCGTAGTAAACGAGGGCTCCAACCAGCTTATCCTTCTTCAACATGGGAAACAGCTCGAGAGCTCTACTCTTCGACAAAAAGTAACTGGTCTTCACTTTCTGTCGACCGGCGACGATATCATATGCCTTGATTCCTGCCCAGTAATAGGGAATCTGCCACCACCTATGTTGCACATATCCATAAATCACTACAACAACTAAAATATTCACAATTAGGATTACACAACATTGACGAAGTAAAATAAATATAAACTTGGTGAAAATAAAAACATATGGCAAAAAATATTAACGTGATGCCCTGTCAATCTACACATTAAGAAACTCTCCAAACACTAACAATTTTCCTGTCAAAAAGTAGGTGGCAATATTCCCACATATTAAAGGGATCCTTTACTCTAGGTTCTAGGGTTATTTTCAGTTAATTTAGGTTAAAATTATGCTACATAAAAAGAGTCATGGTTCAATCACCATTAGAAATTTTTTTTTTTAATGTTTTAAAACTAACGACTACAGTTTGATTACAACGACGGTGGCGCCACTCAAAGCGCATGATCTGATAAGTTGCACAAAACGACTTTTCAGCCAAGGGCTACAGACCGAGGGTGTTTCTTATTTATTAATTTAAAAGCAAAAGGATTGTAATATCTTATAAACGACATATAGATTCAGTTATATTATGGATAAATTTGTCCTAAAATGAACATCGTTCGGTTAAATAGCATTTAGGTATAAATATAATTGCACCTTTGTGATTAGCCCTCGGTCTGTAACGTGCAAAATATATTGGGAAATGAGCAACTTTTTCAGGGTGGCAGCACCGTCGCGGGTGTCAATGGCGCCGTTCAAATTTCGTAGCGTTGATGTATAATTAATTATAACAATTAAATTAGGTATCTGGTAACAAGTAGGTGTCGGTATAGACGATTTGTTATACAGTAAGTACAGTAGTCTGCAGTAAAATCCTAGAGTCTAGTATCCCTTTAAAGCTCAAGAACAATGCTAGTCGGTAAAAAAATCCCAAAGAGTAATTTATTGATCACGCATAATAACGGGCAAGTGTGTGTACAGAGTATGCATTGCTAAGGACGTGTGAACTGAAACTAAATCAGATCTTACTTGTACACTGGCAGCATGATGGGCAGAGGATAGGAGAGGTGTGGTGCAATCTTCAGCAGGTTTGCTCTCTCCTGAAGAGCTTCTTTCACCATACGATACTGTAACACAAGTACGCACAGTGGTTAGCCCACGCTGACACACGTATGTGTGTGTAAAGCCACATGTCGGACTAGGCAACCTTTTTTCTTTTGCCACCAGTCGCTACCGGGATGGTTTCGTCTCCACTGCATACGTGCACGCACATTTTCAAATTCACGAAGCAGCCCAGCCACTACCTGCAGACACGTTCCACTTACGCACGGACGTGTCGGCACTTTGCCAACGAACAATGCACTTTTTACGAAATATAAGATAAGGCTGATCAAGCAGGAGATGTGAGCTGTCTGACCTGTCACAATGCATTTGTCACAGGACTGGAGATTATTGTCTCCAGTGATAAACAGGCCAGATACTGGGGCCGGTTATGAGAAACAAACACCGGACCTTCCCCACACCTCCCTACCTCTCTCCGACCTCCCCTCTACCCCCGGCTCTACCCCCCCCCTGGCCCTACCCGGGGTTCTATACCTCTATAGACCAGACCTCTATACGCCTATCTCCCCCGGCTCTACTCCCCCCCCCTGGCCCTACCCGGGGCTCTATACCTCTATAGACTGGACCTCTATACGCCTATCTCCCCCGGCTCTACCCCCCCCTCTGGCCCTACCCGGGGCTCTATACCTCTATAGACCGGACCTCTATACGCCTATCTCCCCCCGGCTCTACCCCCCCCCCCATCTCCCCCCGGCTCTACCCCCCCCCCCTGGCCCTACCCGGGGCTCTATACCTCTATAGACCGGACCTCTATACGCTGTTATTGTCAGACTCACAGCTCGCTTGTAGGCAAGACAAGAATCACCGTTGCGGACAATGCAATTCAGCTCGCCTGACCGAAACCAACCAACGTTCGTTCGTGCGAACTACGGGAATCTCCACGAGCGGCATTTCTAACCAAAACTGCAGTTCCTTCTTATTTCTAACAACAGAAAAAATACAAGAATGTACCGCTGAAGTCACGCACCTCTACGCAGGTCGCGTCGGTCGTGAGACCTCAGACGTACCTGCTCGTAATCTAAACGCAGTATGGCCTTCTGCAGGTAGCGCACACCTCCGTGAATCAGCTTCGTCGATCGACTACTCGTGCCGGCCGAGAAATCCTGTCTCTCCACCACAGCCGTGCTCAGACCTGCCGCCACAGATATCACACGCGTGAGAGCAATACATACAATCACTGGTGCGGACATGGTTGCCGCAAAAACACACCACGTGATGTAGTGATGTCCCGATGACCGATTATAATCAAAAGTCAGTCGTTTGCAGCAACCGACTAAAGACTTATGAACATAAATAATCAATTATCAAAAAAAAAATATTTGCAAACATTGATGAAATGACTCTTTATTTTATTTTCGTGTTTTGTTGGTTACTTTTCTAACCTACACCTAACATAAGCAAGTATAATACTGTTACATGGCTGTTAGAATATTGTATTATAAAAAATACTGTATTATATGATATATATATATGATATATTTCAATATCTGGTAGCCATGATCAATAGGACTCAACCGATTATCTTCGATCATTGATCGGTTAGGTGCAACCGATGATCGATGATGAAATCCTAACCGATTCCCATCACTAACACGATGCACCCAGCAGTGGCACCCGCAGATAGAAGCACTGGAAGCAGTGCTACCAGTAAATTTTGGGTTAAAAAATTTGTTCCCACATTTTGTTCCTAAATCTCTCTCGCAAGACTCACCAGATTGCATCTCCAGACGTCTACCATTCCAAAATTTCCCATTCAGGGGGGGCATGCCCCCAGACCTCCCTAGCATGCAGCGCGCATACGGCGCTCGCTTTTTATTATCACTGAGGATTTTATCCTTCTGTGCTTCGCCAGTGGCACCCAGCATGAGCCGCCCACAAAACCAATGCAAAAAATGCTTGCTTTCTTCATGATGCGTTTAGGAGCATACAGAAAATCATAGCCTAAAATAGCACTAGCCACGAGCAATGCAATAAACGTGTTTAGAGGTTTTTGCATGAGGCCAGCTGTTCGTAGCAAATATTTACCAGCAAACTTATGCACTGTGAATCAAATTCACGTTTATATTCTCAAAGCCACTTGTAGAAATCAAGCCTATAGCATCGATACTATGGCAAATCTTCACTAAATATTTTCATCAAGTTATTGTTCTTTTTTTCTCTGAATTTTTTCATAAGCATTGTTAAAGCTCTTTGGCTGTTAAGATTGAGAGAGGACAAGACCTGCAAATACTTCACTCAGATCCTTAGTGAGTAAACAACAACTGGGTTCATGCAGCCAGACTATGCCCAGGGTTCGACACTAACCCACGTCCGACCGACCTAGTCGGGTAAATGCTTGGTCCGGTCGCATACAACCAGAGTGCTAGTAGGCAAACATTTTGCTCAAAAACATTATCGTAGCAATGTTCCATGAAATGTTCGGCAATGTGCGGTGAAAAAAGTCGCCGAACATTTGTTCCGAACAATGTTTCTGAAGATCGGAAATGTTTGATATCTCGAACATTGTTCGTCGAATGTTCGTCAAAGTGCGTTGAATGTCGAACAATTCTAGGAACATTTGTAAAGTAGTAACCAATAGCAGCACGATATGTGGTCACATGATTTTTGTGTACAATATGGCGTCTGCTATATCGCTGCCAGAAGTGTGGACTTTTGAAAAGGAAGAGATTATGGTCGAAATGTGGGGGCAGCAGCCCTGTCTAAAATTAGTAAAGTTGTTAAAATTCTCTTGTGCAAACTGGGCATTGCCATTCACGCCGATCACGTGACTCTTTACAACACAGCTACTAGACGGCGCCACGAGGTTGTTCGCTAAAAAATGTTCGGCAATGTGCGCTCAGCAATTGTTCACCTGCACATTGCCAGACAAAAACATTTGTTCGGACGAAAATTTGTTCGGAAAAATGTTCGGCAACGTGCGCCAGGCTTTAGAATTGGTCATATAGTACTCGCACATAGTTACATGACATCATTTCACACCTTTCTGCCTTATAATTCACATTTGTAATTACAAAATGCACAATTTTCACAATGTCAGTGCAAGGCAAAACATCGAATCTTTATTATGGTGTTCGTGCTTAAAACAATACCTGTCAGTGATCTGGGTCTAGCCCATTAACCCAGCGTGCACTGAAAGATCACCTCTGGCTAGACTGGAGCGTGTACATTGTCTAGCAGAGCGTGAGGCCGGACACCAGTCTACCCTTCGGCAAAAACTATATGGTGGCTTGCTGCCAGCCGCAGTAGACGATCGATAAACCCAGGCTTTCCAGCAGTCCTTGACAACATTTTAGGGCTAATTTTAGGGAGAAATTAAGGTTTTTTAGGGCTATTTTAGGCATTTTTAGGGATGAACCGAAACATTTTAGGGATAAATTAAGTCAATTACCTTTCATAAACATCAGCGTGTTAACGTACAGATACAGTTCTATGTGGTATGTGTCCAGTCTACCAGCTATTCCTATCCTCCAAGTCCTCGATACGACTGTACATCATCAAGTTTCATGCAAATTAGGCATGTCTTGTACATCCAGCCAATAACAGGGTCGTATAATCAGACACTGAAGCTTAGGAATCACTGGTAAACTGAGAGTCACAATACTTACTCAGTATAAAGATAACTAGAAAACATCCATTAGCAGGGTCTCCAACCCTATGAACTCCAAATGCGGAATGTTCCCGCGGTGATCAGTAACTAGTGGCGTATTCAGAAATTGATGAGGGGCGAAATGTACCTTGGCTACCGTGAAATGTACCGCGTGCCGTAGGCATGCCAGTGCTAGGGGGGGTCTGGGGGCATGCCCCCCAGGAAAATTTTGAAATATTTAAGCCATTTTCCTGCAATCTGAGGCATAACTGTGGGCCATATTCTCATGTCTGATAACACTATCTCAACCCTACAACCCTTGTCTAATTAGCAGACAAACTACGCGACACCTTGCAGACAGCGCCTGTCTGACTAGGCTGTTCCATTTACCGTAGACATGCCAGATACAAAATGCCTGAAAAAAACAATGTGTCCAAGCGAACAATCAAATTTTTTACAGTGTAACTGAAATGATGAATATAACCTTGCCGCTGCAGAATGCGGAAATTAAGCCTAGAAATTGTAATGATTCCGCAGAATGAGGAATGGTTCTGCATTAGACATAATTACAAACCAAAAGTTCATCATCTCATCACCAAAAACTCCAAACATATCTGTGAATTTTTTTTTTTAGGAATTTGAATAAAATTTTAGCCTTTTTTTAGGAATTGCATGCGTTTTTAAAGTTTTTTTAGGAATTTTAGGGCGAGCTCAAAATTTTTGGAATTTTTGGGCCGCTGGAAAGCCTGTAAACCGTGCGCCTGTGTATGCCTGTGGTAGAATACGAATGCTGCACGTGAACTCGGAAAATGACGCTCGCGCAAGCTGTGATCTGTATGGAGTGTAGAGCAGTAAACTATAGTGCAGCTTGCTAACCAGTACTCATAAACGATGTCTTTATTTAAGGTTGGCTTTACGTCAGGTGATAGGGACGAATAAAGGGTTAATCGTTTATGTTTACTTGTTACTTGTTTTTAAACTAAAGTATCAAAACCTCAATCTAAACTTTTCTATCGTGTAATAGTATTGCAGTTAAAAATACATACTTTATCATAATTATGTCACTATAACAGCATCTATGAATACATACGATGACACACTCTTATCTAAATAAAGTTTTTCATAACAATGGTCTGGGTCTGGGCTAGTGAAAGTTAGGTCAAGGCTAGTGGTTTTCCTCAGTTACTAGCCCAATGGTCTAGTGAAATAAAAAGTTAATGTTGAACCCTGCTAGTATGCCTTAGCTAAACTCCAGACTAGTGAGTTTACTTATATGTATGCAACAGTGATACAACCAGGACCAATGGGTAGGTGGGTGGGGAGGTGGGTTCTAGATAATACAGTGCACTGGTCAGGGGGCTATATGGCCATCCACACAATGCCTGCAGGAAATTCGGATGAACCTGATAAATTCTGAACATAAATCACCCCTTTTAAGTGACTGTGGGTAGATAATATATTTATGCAATGCGGTGCAATTGTACATACCAGTAATCTAGATCGCATACGATACCGTCATGCTGCTGCTGCTATTATTAAAGTATCAGACGAGTTTAACTGATGTATTATAGCCAAACATATAATAGGGTCACAAGGCTAACCTCTGCTAACAGCATCCAGTGCTACGCCACAGCCAGTGGCGCCTCCACCGATCACCAATACATCGAACTCGGCCGTCTGTTCCAAGGACTTCAGCTGCGCAGCACGAGTCGGCAAGTCGACGGTAGGCCTCTGGTTCAACTCCGTCATTCCATCATTCACAGTCTTGGCCAGAACTACAGCTTGGTTCTGCAATGGTGAGTGTGTGACCTCTACACATTTTCCCCCAATGATCTATGCGATACGGATGCCGATGGCATGGCAGGTTTTATCATGGACAAGGTGGTTGTCCATTAGAGTACAGGGGCTGTCAGTTGCCATAACTGCTAACATATGACAAGTAGATGGTTACTTGTACTCTTTGTTCAAAGGCGATTTCTCACTGTCCTGTTAGCGTATACAACAGATTTGCACGAAATTCACCCGATAACTTTGTAAATGAACTCTGCATAGTTTCTAAATTCAAATTTTTCTTTTATGCCCCTCCAACTTTCCATGGTCCCCAAAAACTTATGATTATGCCATAGGCAACACTTTCTGTGCCATAAAAAGGAAATATGTGTGATGAAGCCCCAAGCAAAAGCCAACCGAAAAAAATCCTCGAAGTAGCCAAACTACAATCTAAACTCAGAGCAATTTTCCCTGACTTGAACGGCAAGAAGAAAAATAGTGAAGCCTGCACAGGCTTCGCCATCTGAGAAAACCACGGGACCTAAAAAAAGGCCCTGTCATTTACATGACGGGGCTGATTTTCTCTAGACGGGGCAGATATTTTAAAACTTGTGAATTATGTAATAAAAGTTTTGTTACATTCATATGTATTGTTACTATGCTTATTCCCTCCTATTTGGTTTATGAATTTATAACAACCGTTGTTCTTTCTCTTTTCGATTTTAGTTTTCGACTCTCGGAATCTCAAAATTCGACTGGGCCGAAAAAAGTCCTGTGGACACCAGAGACAGGGCTGTTTATGGGGCTTGGGCCGATCGCCCCATGAAAAGGTGAAGCCTGACTGCATCGCCAACACCACAGTAAGAAAGCAGAAACTCTACCTGTTTTCTTCAGCAGCATAATAACTGAATAGCCAGCAGGAGAAGTACCTAAATTATGGCCAGGAACATTGATGATGAATTCGTCTACAAGAAAATAACTGATCAGGACATTATGAAAGTATTTTAAAGCCTAAACAGTAACAACTCCCAGGGGCCAGACAATATTCACCCGAGAATCCTGATGGAATTAGAGGCAGTTATAGTCACACCACTATTTTCAACCAGTCTCTGCAAACAGTGCGTGTGCCAAAGGGCTTTCGAGAGCAGAGTCAGTAGATTCTGGAAGGCCAATGACAGGAGGACGAGACTCGAGGGGATTACAGGGTCCAAGCCCAACAGGAAGCTACACCGCACAACACAGACGATGATGGAGCGATTAATCTGAATATAGAGGCCTGTGCTCACAGGCACTTGAAGCGTTTCAATAAAATATAATGCTAACTAAATACGAAATCTATTTACTACTAAATTCTTAATGTTTCTATACTCTTTTTCACCTATTATTGCCAACAGTTTCCTGTCAATTCCGTCCAAATCCTACGTGCAACTATATACGCTGCCGGCGGCCATTGCTCTCGCGGCTTCAGTGTTGCACGCTTACACTTATATATATAGCAGGTAGGAAAGCGGGATCGCAAAATTCGCTCGACGCTCGCTGGATTTCACACTTTCACAGCACGAATACATATATCCAACAGCTGCCATCTTTGTTTCTATGTCAAGAACAGTGTTCACTTGTTATAAAAACATACTGTCTCTGTTCGTAACCGAGCTGTGTCACGGCGAAATCACACAAAGACTGACAAAATTCTCGCGTTCGCGAACCTTGCCCCGTAATGTAAATGGCTGTCAGAATCAGGAAACACCTACCGGCGCTCTTCGTGACCTCATTCTTGCGCCGAAATGCTGCAACGTTTTTGCAACGTTCCAATGGCGAGGCTCGTACGGGAGTTGGAAAGCAGTGCGCCGCCTGCGCGCCGCCTATAGTCCATAGACTGGCACTCGCTCCCACCTCTCGGCTTAACTTAGTCACTCGATGGGCAATCGAGGTGGGAGCGAATCCCAGTCTATATAGCCCTGATTCTGGCAGCCATTTATATTAAGGGGCAAGGTTCGCGAACGCGAGAATTTTATCAGTCTTTGTGTGATTTCGCGTGACACAGCTCGGTTACGAACAGAGACAGTATGTTTTTATAACAAGTGAACACTGTTCTTGACATAGAAACAAAGATGGCAGCTGTTGGATGTGTATTCGTGCTGTGAAAGTGTGAAACCCAGCGAGCGTCGAGCGAATTTTGCGATCCCGCTTTCCTACCTGCTATATATATAAGTATAAGCGTGCAACAGTGGAGCCGCGAGAGCAATGGCGCCAGCAGCGTATATGGTTGCACGTAGGATTTGGACGGAATTGACAGGAAACTGTCGGCAATAATAGGTGAAAGAGAGTATAGAAACATTAAGAATTTGGTAGTAAATAGATTTCGTATTTAGTTAGCATTATATTTTATTGAAACGCTTCAAGTACCTGTGCCTGTGCTCAGTATTAACTAAGTTAAACAAAGCTTTTGTTTAACCACCAACTCAGCGTAACCCAAAAGTAGATGCCATAAATGCCAATACGCACGTGATCGCACGAGTACTGTATCAAATAAACGCATGTACTCTGCTAGTCCGAGATTCCTCTGACCAATGCCCACACCGACGATTTTGGTGGATTTGGTGTGGGTTAGAAAGATTCCTCTGACCAATGCCCACACCGACGATTTTGGTGGATTTGGTGTGGGTTAGGCCAGAGCAACTTGCCTATACAAAACGTGGAATTTCTCCGATCCCGCCGAGGATCGCTGTTTTATCGCTCCAAACTCACAATTGGGGCTATCAATCAATATCTGTCGCACATATATCGAAAACTGGATAACTTATATGCTTGCTCGCGTTGGTAAGTACACTTGTAGTTGTACTCTTTTACCTTAGTCGTATTTCGATTTGAAAATTTGTTGCTAACAATTTCCCTCCGACATGCATCGGCCATCCATCGTGCATCCAACTGCATTGTGGGAAACAACAGAGTAGCGTATTTGGTAGCGTGGTAGTCTAAAGAAGGCTCTCAGCTTCCCGCTCCAGGTTCTCGGTTTAGCAGATGCCGTAGTGGCACCCGTTTTAAGGGTAGTGTCAGGTTGCGTTGATAGATAACAGAAACACAGTATTATGAAAACTACTCTTCGTGCTTTGTTTTACACCACAGAATATTCCTTACACGCACAATTCTACGATACTACATAGATGACTACATACACGCAGAATCGTAACCGAATATCCTATTGATATAATCGAATGATAACCTCGTACCGTGAGACGTGGATCGCGAAGTAGCTCGGCAGGGGTGAAGGTGGAAGGTGGAAGGTAAAAGGGGAAGGTGGAAAGGAGGAGTATAGAAGGAATATGATCAGGAGCGCGGGCAAACCTGGACCGTTCTGCGGAAACGATGAGAGCCGAGTCGCTACCTGGGGACTAACCATCACAGATCGGCCCTCGAGTCATTAGTGTACTCGGATGCTAAGGGGCGAGGTGTATAGTGATTACCTGCGGCGTTCTATTATTATGTATCACTTGGAGCGATGAGGTGTGTTGTTTATGGTGATTGCTTATGTGGGGCGGCTAGTGTAAGGCGGTATGTTTAATCTCTGCGGGAGCGTGCGCTATCCTACAGTAGTTTCCCAAAATGCAGTTGGATGCACGATGGATGGCCGATGCATGTCGGAGGGAAATTGTTAGCAACAAATTTTCAAATCGAAATACGACTAAGGTAAAAGAGTACAACTACAAGTGTACTTACCAACGCGAGCAAGCATATAAGTTATCCAGTTTTCGATATATGTGCGTCAGATCTTGATTGATTAGCCCCAATTGCAAGTTTGGAGCGATGAAACAGCGATCCTCAGCGGGATCGGAGAAATTCCACGTTTTGTATAGGCAAATTGCTCTGGCCTAACCCACACCAAATCCACCAAAATCGTCAGTGTGGGCATTGGTCAGAGGAATCTCGCACTAGTACTCTGCTAGACCAAATAATTCTGTCCCATATAACCTTTTTTATATTTTGGTGAGAGTTATTAGGACAGAACGGGGTTCATTGAAATTTCGTGAGATCGCATGCAAAATGCATGCGCTGCTAATGCGGCCCGTACGCCGCTATTGGCGCGAAAAACAACCTACCGTTCCCTTGAACTACATGGCTTTTCCTTGCTACTGATATGTGTATACATTCACTTCAATCGTTATTTACTTCTTAAAAGATTGTTTTTCAGAAACCCCGCTTCATTAACTTTAGTAAATTACGTTGGCCATTTACAAACAATCAGACCAATCAGAGCGAGTCTTACAATAGCCCCTGGTTCTCGCTTGTATCTGTGGCGCTGCAGTGCAGGAGGCCTGATAGACTCGCTCTGATTGGTCTGATTGTTTGTAAATGGCCAACGTAATTTACTAAAGTTAATGAATAGGGGTTTCTGAAAAACAATCTTTTAAGAAGTAAATAACGATTGAAGTGAATGTATACACATATCAGTAGCAAGGTAAAGCCATGCAGAAGGGAACGGTAGGTTTTTTTTCGCGCCAATAGCGGCGTACGGGCCGCATTAGCAGCGCATGCATTTTGCATGCGATCTCACGAAATTTCAATGAACCCCGTTCTGTCCCAATAACTCTCACCAAAATATAAAAAAGGTTATATGGGACAGAATTATTCGGTCTAGTACTCTGCATGCATGTGAACGGTTTACCTGGTATCTGCGGTTTGCATAAACTATGCATGCTCCCGATCCTCCTAGTATCAATCCTGCGCCAAACAATTTTCGTGTGTACCTGTACGCCATGGTAGCTCAACAACTAAACTCTGCAAGTCAAAAGCGTAGTCGAGAGACATTTCAGATTTTGCTAAATTTTAGTTCAACTTCAGGCTCAGGTAAACATCATTTTCATGGCATGCCACGATTCACGAAATTTCCAGCTTACAATATGAAAACATAGATATCATTCCTACGACGTATACGAAGTTTGTTTATGCTACTCGTCTAACTGTTTATAATCTAATTCATGCGCTAATGTATTTTATATTAACCTTCAAAGCCTGTCTGTGTTTATAAATAGAGACCGAAAAACCTGCCGACCATGATAACGCCTTGCTAGTTTCGAGGTTTCGACGACTGTGACAGTGTGACGTCACGAACATTGTGGTGTGCTTACATGTCAAATAAAATGACTTTAATAAAATTTAATAACAACACAAAAACACATTAAAAATTTGAGAAAAAATATGAAACGATATTATAACGTATAATTATATATTAAATATGCAGATATATAACCCCTCGTGAAGTTTATTCCGTTTTTTAAATAATTTAGCTTTAATTTAGCGTTATCTTAAGCGGCCGGAGGCGAACATGTGTTTTCCTGTGATCGCAGTGTTGGAGCGTGGCGGAGTAATGTAGACTTAATTTTTATTTCACAGAATAGAGGTGGTCAAAGTAAGATTTCTTGTTAACTAAACACGTACTTGACTTGTATTTATTAGCAACTATACTAGTAGAAGTTATAACGTATTCATTTTCGCCATGCATCGCAAGCCATCTTGCCTTGGGTCTCGCACTCGCACTCACTCAGACAGAGTCAGAGTCAGTTGTGAGTTGGCTCTAGATGCAATAATGTAACCCAAACACAGGATAGGGTTACAACGCGTCCCTATCCTTTTGTGTGGAGAAACCCCTGAGTGAATCACTCAGGGCGGTTTGCCGGTGCGTTTTCAGAGACTAGAACTTCCAAACTGGGTTTATTCTCAACGCGAACCTTTCTCCGCTATCTTGAAACTAGCTCCAAGAAACGGTATTGCTAGGGTTAGAATACCGTTTCAAACCTTGGCTGCAGCTAAACACGTAGTTACCTTATTTGCCAAGTATCGCCAAAGAACACTACACATGTGATATACCAAATGAATCAGTGTACGTCCACCTTCTTGTAACCATCAGTGCGCTACGATGCGCTGGGTACTTACGGGGTTACAGCAACTTTTTGAGACGAATGCAACAAAATTTATGAATTCGCCACCATGTTTGCTATCATTCCGACTGTGACTAAAATCCGCAATGGATCGAACCAGCGAAATTAAACGATCTGCGGTCCTCATGTAAACCACCCCAACATCCGAGAACATATGTCATCTAAGGTTTTTAGCTCACCTTGACATCGTCAAGCTGAGCTATTGCCATGGGTCGTCGTCCGTCGTACGTCCGTTCGTCCGTCCGTCAACATTTCGCTACGGTCAACGATAACTCAGGAACCGTTTGACCCACATGTTTGAAATTGGGTATAGTTGTTGCTGCTATGCTCCCATATTAAACGTCCTATTTTGGAGCACACCAGTCGACGTACTTTCGAGCCACGGCGATTTTTTGGCAAAAATGGGAATTGCCATTAGTCAGTTCAGGTTCAACGGATTTTGCTCATTTTTGGTATGTGAATGAATAAGGGCTAGGGGTTTTGATATTTAAAAAAAAATTATGCAAATTAGATAGGGTTTGGCAATTATATAGCATATTATATAGACACAAACAGTGTGGTGTCACACTCGTCTGGTTCGTTTTACAAGATTTCATTGACAATATCTTTAATGCAAAATTGGTATTTCCTCTCCACCCTGCCGATAAAATGTCTATATTAGAGTAAAGTTTTACAAAACATGTCGGAACACAGCATAACCTATTAAAAGCCAATTACTTAGTGGTTTAATTTGTTTATTAATACTAATCTGTTTCCTCAATTTTGATCTAGTATTACGTATAGGCCTTACTTGGCTAAACTTACAAAACTTACTTACTTAAACTTACAAACCTAACTTGTCTACCCGTATATCCCTTTACGACCAGTTATGATGAGAAACGACAGTATATCTGTGTAGAGTAGCTATAAGCTGTAGTTTTTAGGCAGTGGCTGGAGGTACGGCAGCCGTATCTCTAATTTACGAGGCTGGAGGTACGGCAGTCCATTCGCTTTCATACTTAACGAGACAAAGATGGCGGCGGATGGCGGCAGATTTCGAAATAACGCTTTGGGAAATAAATTCATGATTTGAGAGTTTTGATGAGCTGGAAACACTCGGATTAGGTATGAAAATGAACATTATTGTAAACTTTACATCAGAAGATCGCAAATAATTGCCTCAGCCCTCAAACAAACGCCAAAAAGGGGCTTCAACGAACGACGGCTGCCGTACCTCCAGCCACTCCGTAGTTTTTAACACAGTCACAGGGTTAGAAATTATGTGAGCAGCAGGTTTTGCTGCCTACAACTTAAAAGAGTAAGTTTCCTAGCTGCCTGCTGTTAATGTGAGTAATAATTACTTGCTGCCGAAAAATTCCTAATAAACCAAATTATTCCTTGTGGACAAAGGCAATAGCAAATAGGATAGTACTGTCAGTATGGTCTTTCTTATATTTCTGTGGCAGCAAATACTTGCTGCCTAGCAAAATCATTTGTATCTAACCCTGCAATCAAAAGGCTGGCAAGATAAATGTCATGAAATTAAGCTGGTCATGTAATTTGGCCAGGTTGGACCATTTATTGAATAACAACAAACCAAAACATCAAATGCACTGCTATGTCTGAGTTAAATAATGGTGGTGCTAGTGAGCGGGCACCAGTTAGCCTACCATACTGCAAAAAATTTATTGCATGCAGTTTCCAACCACTATTGTTGGCCGTATATCCCTGCAACAGAAGCAAAGGCTACACGGTTAAAGCTAAGTATAACCAACCTCCCTTGTGAATCAGTTAAGGGAAATGCTCCACAGCGAATATGTGGTAACTTGGGTAAGTGGGAATAGGCATGTAAACACTTTCAAATTATTGTAATATTGTACCAAAATATAATATACCACTATTACATTCATAGGTATAACCCTTTACAAAACTTTAGAATTGAGGGGAAAATAAAACTAAAGTCGGATAGATTTTACATAGTAAAACAAATTTTACGAATTGCACCTGCGAGTAACTCGTATGTATACCCTGTTTATAAAAGTTCAAGAAGCTTTATAATATATATATAATATTACTACACAGTAGCACAGTTGCTTGAAAACTTGCGACAGTACTTCTAAGGTAAATAAATTTGCAACGTAAGTTATGCAATTTTAATCTAGCTCTGCCTAGTCATCGAACTTATACCCACTAAGTATGTGAAATATGTATGTAGCCAGTCAATAGTTTGATGTATTGCTACTAGCAGTAACAGCTTAAATGTAATGAAGATGGATCAAAAGCATCCTGACCAAGAGGACAAGGTGGACGTGGACCAGCAGGAAGATGTCATCTACAGTCCAGATGATGTTATTGAAGTGATCGACCTTGATGATGGATCAAACGCAGGTAGTAAAGCACATTTTAAGTGATATCCCATGCTCAGGGATGGGAATCTTCCGCGGATCCGCGGAAATCCGCGGATTTCACAGTCCCAGGGTCGATTTTGTGAAACGTCTAAATCCGTTGAGAAAATTTTAGGGGGGGTTAGAATGTACACATTTTCATTTTACAGTCCAACAGTACCAGTACCTTCATTTAATAACATTGTAATATACAGCAGGCTGTAACATTGTAATCCCATTATGCAATGATGGCATATATTTGCAAGCGCCAGCATAAATGTGATGTGTATTATACATTGTATCAAGCGAACCAGACAATGCGTCTAGACAATAGGCCTGTCTGCAGTGTAAGTACTGTGGAGGCGTATGTAAAATGATGAAGACCTTGTATACCACTGCTTGAGTGTGCAAAATAAATCGAAACGGAATTCATTTCGAGCAGTGTTTTCATGCATTTGACCACTAAATATGGTGAGATTAATTGAGAAGGCGTACACATCTACCATAGCAGAGATCGACAAAGATGTGAGGAACAAGTTTCGCTGGGCTTGGTTAGAAAAATCTGTCACACTGAGTGTCAAAATCGGGAAGAAAACTGAAGAGGTGACAGAGCGGTTGAACGACTATGTCGGAAAGTGCGATGTAGCTGGCAAGGCACAGTGTTTGTATTGCAGTGAATTTGAAACTGCCTGGACAATGAGCATCTTATATTATATAAAGGTTAGCCTTTGGGACAGTGTGGATCGAAGTGTACATTAAGATAATTTTGTTTGCAGAAGGTAAGTAAATTTTTGTATTGATTATTAATTCTGGTGTTATGATAATGACAGTGCAAGATATGCTCCCTGCAGTGTACTGTAATATGCTCTGTAACAATACTGTTCTGTATGTGTCTCCTAATGCAATTTTATGCCTTGTAAGTTGTGCAAATTCAAAAACTTCCTGAAACCCCTGACCAGGCTTCTCCCTGGACCTGACCGCCCCCCGCTACCCTCCCCGCACCCTGGACCCCGGCTATTTTCAGCTGAAAACACAAATTGTCATTCCCATCCCTGCACGCTGTAAAGTATAGACTGTTAATTAAGTCTTATCAGTTTTCCATGCTTATTATTTGTTTTAATAATTAAACGTAGAATGTAGCTATATGTCCATGTGATTGCGTTCGTATATAGTGTGATTATAGTATGTAATGATTATATATTTCTTATTTGCTGAATGGTTATTGTTTGTGATAGAACATATATGTATTTTATTGATGTATTTGGTTATTCTGGGATATATTGTAGCAATGTAATGCGTGATACAGGGTAATGATAAAAGTTTTGCTGTTATCATTCACCTCAGATGTTCTCTCAAGCGAAATGGCTGATGTCGACATTGAAGAGAGCTATGATGCCGATATTGATGATGTAGATGGCGCCATGGGTGGTGATGATGAGGAATCCATGGAAGACCTAACAGACGACAGTGATTTGGTCCTTAGAAAACATCAGAGTATGATTACATGAAATTTAATCTGATAATATGGTTGACATTGATATTTAAAAAATATGCTTTGCATCGTTTGAATACGTGCTACCTTACATACATGTTATAATTCTAATAGAACAGTTATTAAATACTATATGCTTATATGATATTATATTGAGCGTATTCAGCTATAACCATCATAAAACCAACATCATTTCAAAGCAACATTTACCATTTTTCAGATTCATTAATCATTTTACTCTTTCAGGCAATGTATTTTCTGTGAGTATTGATCCAGCCACTGGTACCTTGGGAGTCACTGGTGGTGAAGATGACAAAGCCTACCTTTGGAATTTAGTTGAAGGAACTGTAATGTTTGAGTGTACAGGTATGTTTATGTGGGAATTACAGTGTAAAATTTAAAATATTTAATATGTGTAAATACCCCCTGAATTCAATACATTATGTATACAGGGTTTCGTCCAGGAATTTTAAAGGGCATGTTGCGTAATCGGGCAGTTCATCCATTATTGCTAATTAGACTCAATTACGCGTGTTGACGTCAGTTTGGAGTCGTATACATCAAGCTATGAAAATTGAATGACTGGTGGGATGTGTATACAATATGTCAAAACAGGTAAAGCAGGCAGCACACTTCACCATTTTCGTTGCTCGTACAGGCAATTTTCATGGTCGCCACAAAAATGGCCAAGTGTGCGGGGGCCGGCAACGACCACTCACCACGGAAATTTAGTGTTGACCACGAGTTGCCGAGAATCAAACCGGTTTGATTTCTCACCACGAAAATTGCTCGTGGCGGCAACTTGTGGTGAAGTGTGCGCCAAGCCACCACGGCAATCGGCAACAAAATCACTCTCAGACCAATCAAAATTAGCGCTGCCGTCACATGATTTCAAAATAGCGGGCCCAATTTTATCGACTTGGACGACCGAGTTAGAAGCAGAATTAATAGATTTATGGAGTGAGAGGCTTTGTCTTTTTGACATCAAAGCTCCCGAATACAGCGACAGAGTACTCAAGGCGATGGCCATAAATGAAGTGTCCCAACTTCTTGGACAACCAGGTAGTATAACAGGTGTTAGGCAGGCACCAACTGTTCGTAGGCCTGGCTAGTGCATTTGCTTCGCAGAATCACGCACATAAATGCTATATGCATCGTTATCATTTGTGTACAATAGGATTAGTGTAACAGGGCGATTGTTTCTTGTCTATGCCAACCCAAGACTCGCATTGAAAACGCTCTTAATTAGGTTAAAAAGGTGTAAAAGGTATTTGATAACTGTATATGAATGGGTTAAAGCTACAACATCTGGCAACAAAAATTGCCGTCAACAGCACACGTCACCATTAAGTGGTGACGTGTGCTGTGACACGGCAAAGGCCACAAAAATTGCCGACCACGAAAATTGCCTGTACGAGCAACGAAACGAAAATGGTGAAGTGTGCTGCCTGCTTTAGATGAGGTGAAACACCAGCTGATTTCATTCAATGGTAACATATGTTGTCTGTGACTTTTGAACCTAATTATCTGTGTCTGTGTGTGTACATGAGTAGTTATATGCGTATAATGTGCCTTTATATTATAACTGGGCAATCCACTTTTACCACTAATTTTTTTGTAGTGTTATTGAGGAGTTAACATATCTGCCAATATTTTTTTTACACATAATAGGTGATTTTATTGCATGATTCACAGGCCACAAAGACTCAGTAACCTGTGTTGGCTTTAATCATGACTCAACCATGGTTGCAACTGGTGACATGTCTGGTCTGATTAATGTTTGGCGAGTTCAAGATGGGTCTAGCATTTGGTCATTCGAAGCATCAGATCTGGAAGTAAGTGAAATTTGGCTTCATGGTTGTATGTATCTCGATTGACTCTATCAAGTGAAAAACATCTAGACTTATGATATATAACAACAATGTAACTTTTGTTGAAACATGATTGATATTAGGGAAGGGGGCATAACCTGATACAACATAATTAATATCTGATTATTGAGGTAAAGAAAATTTCCTGCATTTTGCTAATTATAATCTTTATGTAATCATTTCTGTAGTGGATGGAGTGGCACCATAGTGCACCAGTGCTGCTTGCAGGAACAAGTGATGGTATGACCTGGATGTGGAAGGTGCCAAGCGGTGAACTAAAGACCTTCCAGGGCCCCAGCTGCCAAGCTACCTGTGGCCAGTGGTTGCCTGATGGTAGGTATAAATTCTAATGAGTCTAACGAGTGTTAATGTGTGCACTTGTCTACACGCATCATCAAACATGATTCTTTTTGTTGTGTACATCCACACACTTATACATTGCGAGTGATGTGGCGACTTTTCCTGTTTTAATAGTGTGTTGTGAAGAATTAATGAAGTCATTTGTTCTAGGAAAACGAGCATGTGTTGGATACGATGATGGAGTAGTGAAGATTTGGGACTTGAAGACTGGTGCCGGACAGTTTACCCTGTCAGGTATGTTCTTTGGTTTTCCTTTCCGCTTTACAAAGCCATATTTTCATGTAATGTACTGATTCTATGTCCTATTTCATGACCACAATTCACGTCACTCTACTCATTGTGAAATAATTTGATGTTGTTAATAATGTCAACATGAACAGGTGTATAAAATGAACATACCTCAGCACAATGTTGTTAGATGCTGGACACTTAATGACAAACTCGGAATAAATGGGAAGTATCAACAGCGAGTAGTGTACATATGTTTTACAAACTTTATTGTAATTCTCATTATCACTGCAGTCACGATTGTTGCCTTTGTGATCGTCGCTGTCACCACAATCATTTTCATTGGCAACAACAGCAGTATTAATAAATGGCTTCTAGGCGAAACTAATCTCGCGTCCCCTCTTATCAAATAACTCGTACGTAACTGGCTAGTAAATTCCTTAACAGAAGAAATTGATTGCTAATTCCTCTAGATGGTGATGCACACAAGAGCTCTGTGACATGTTTAGACTGTCACCACGACAACACCCTGATTGCTACTGGCTCAACGGATGTAACCTGCAGGTTAATAAACAGCCACAATGGTAAGGTACTCGGTATCATTGACGCTGGAGACCAACAGCAGGAAGGCGCAAATGCCGAGGACTCGATCGAATCCGTCGCATTCTCTCCGAGGTACGTCTGCCATTAATTATACATGGGAATGTCCCCCATCTAGTATCTTTGAAGGAGGTCGATAAATATTCAAGGCCGGTGGTTTATCTGTTAGATGTTTGCAACATGAACGATCACATTTGCAGGGTCTCCAACCATTCCTCATTCTGCGGAATCATTACGATTTCTAGGCTTAATTTCCACATTCCGCAGCGGCAAGGTTATATTCCTCATTTCAGTTGCACTGTGCAAAATTTGCACTGATTGTTCGCTTGGACACATTGTTTTTTTCCAGCTGGTGCCTGAGCACTGGCCACGCGCTGGTGCAGTGGAGATGCAGCAAGTTTATTAATAGCCTTCACTGCCCAAGTCGTTTTCTGGAAATACACACTCATAGTGCTCTCTGCCATTACCTTAGCTTTGCACCCCCCCCCCTCCCTACCATCGCTCAGTGTTATGATGTGTTTCTATGCATTTTGTATCTGGCATGTCTACGGTAAATGGAACAGCCTAGTCAGACAGGCACTGTCTGCAAGGTGTCGCGTAGTTTGTCTGCTAATCAGATTAACACGTGGGGAGAATTCAATGGCGTCCACATTGCCGGCCAAAAAACCCCGACTTTTACAGAAATTCAGGAACGAATATACACAAATGTGTCCTATACTTGTGAAGTCAAAACTTAGTGTTAATCATGGCTATTGCATGGTATGCAAGACAGACTTTCAAGTGGGGCACGGAGGAATGAAAAGTGTTTTGAATCCTAACTTGTAGGGTTGAGTCTAGGGTTGAGATAGGGTCATCAGACATGAGAATATGGCCCACAGTATGCCGCAGATTGCAGGAAAATGGCTTAAATATTTCAACATTTTCTGGGGGGGGGGCATGCCCCCAGACCCCCAGACCCCCTAGCACTGGCATGCCTGCAGCACGCGGGCCTGCCTGCGGCAGCCAAGGTACATTTCGCCCTCCCCCCTGTCCATCAATTTCTGAATACGCCACTATAGTAATTAGTTACTCATCACTGCCAGAAACACTCCGCATTTGGAGTTCATAGGGTTGGAGACCCTGCATTTGCGTGGTGACTTTGGCAACAGTGATTGCTATCAACAGACAACTTGCTGTCCTATCATTTTGCATCATTTTGCGAGGTTATGGATATTGCAGGGGTAGTGGTTGGGACTCCTTATTTTGCTGATTGAATTCAGTGATTCGAATTCTCGTTATATGTTGTGTAACCTTGATAGTTATATGTAACACCTATGCATGACATTACAGTGAAGGTATGTCATCAAAAGATAGGTTGCATGAAGCATGAATGGCAGTCACCAAAGTCACAAATTAAAAATAACAAGAGTCTTATTGTTGTATGGATAAATGCTATAAATGGCTGAACTCTGTTAAAAAGTGAATTACTTGGGTTGGGGGGGGGGCAGCTAAACGTGTTAGTGCGAGCCAAAATATTGTTTGGTGTAATTAAAGGCAAAAGGGGCGAATGATCATGAACAAAAGTGTACTTTGATCCTGTGTGTTGAGTGAAGGCGATACACCATGTGCTCCCAGAGAGTGTGTCCGATACAACAAGCCACCCTTGCAGGGTTTAAGTCTTATGCAGTGCTTGAGCTACTCTTAATTAAAGGTAATACACTTGGTCTATCACCCTCACTCCACATAGATTCCCAGATTTTACGTGTCTATTCTCTATCATGAAATGTGTTGCTTATTATAATTTAGCTAAGCGTTGCTGTCCTGGAATTTTTCAGTCTTCAGCTTTTGGCAACAGGCAGCCTAAATGGAATGCTTGGAATATGGGATGTTCCAACCCAAGTGCTACGACATAACTGCAAACAGGTAAAAGTTGTAGATTGCTGCATTCATACCTTGCTCCTATTTCTGAAATCATCAGTGCACTTATACTCCCTGTCCGTGGCTGTGACACAAAAGCACACAGCACTCTTCTTCTTCTCTAGACAATCCGGCAGTGGTGTACCTCAGTCAACTCCACTGCTCTCATACATTGTATGTGAACTTGTTGGCTGCTTAAATTTCCCCTGCTTGGAAGGATTTTTGAGTTATGAGCCAAGCAAAAAAACGCATAGTTAATAAGCTCTATTTTAAATAATGTTTCTTATTCTGTTACAACAAGCTTGTGTAAATGATATTTTCAGGTGTAACGTAATAGACAGATTATCTGTCCATTATTTCTGTCTGGGTGGTATGATATTTGCAGCTCGTAATTATCATTAGCCTGTTTAATAGGGTTAACTTATTTAACAGAACTGAGCTGTACAAGAAATTGCGTTCAACATCCAGTAACATGGCTGCCATGTAATGTGATTGTGATATTTTTATTTGATTGGAGTGATGTTTTGGCAGTGTAGTGGAGACATCATTTGGTTTTAATTGGTTAACTTGTATTCTATTTCTTGCATACCAAACGTGTGTTTGTGTTCCTTGTAGACAGGGATTGTGAAACTGAAATGGGATCCAACTGGGCCACTTGTTTACACTGTTAGTCTTGATGGCTTGATTCGATTATGGGATGGAAGGAGCGGAAACCTGGCATCGCACTGGTCTGGACACCATGCTGAAATATTGGATTTTGACGTTAGCCGGTATGTATCAATCTATTATAATAATAATAATAATATCTTATTAATGTAATATGAATGAGCACTTTAGGTCAATAATCAAACATTATGATATCTTTTTTTAAATTATTAGCTCTCGAATAAATCGAAATATAATGTAGACGATTTAGGCATCATCATGTAACTGCGTCAACAAGAAGTCAACAAGGAAGTTTCAATCATTGCATTTTGTGTGTGAAAGTAACGAGTGTTTTAAGACACTTTAGCCTCATTTTAGGCACTCACTGTTATGCAAGCAATAGACCAGTCAGTATTGTATTGGTCAGAAAAGTTTGCGAATGCTCGGAAAGCCTTTTTTAAATTATCAATTTAAATGGATCACTTGACATTAAAATGTTGCCATTCGTTTTGATGTCTTTTCAGAGATGGCAGCACTTTAGTCACGGCATCTGGGGATGGCTCCACCCGTGTCTTCCACATGCACCGGCCTGACAGATAATAACTACAGCTTCTAGCAATCACCTTGATGGCCAAATCTCATTTGGCTTTATAGAAGGTGGTGCTTGGACTGATACATTCACATAGACATATAATATATTAGCTTTTCCTTAAGAATCTGACAGTGGATAAAGTGGAGGCAGGCTGTCTCAGAGATCCTTGTTGTGTATAATTGCCATTGTGTTTTAGAAGTAGCATTTGCACACGTTGTGTTTGGCATTGAAAACACTATACTGCTGAAACACTTCAGATTAAACGTTGAACCAGTTCTACTCAATAAGTTTTTTGATGTCATAAATGATTACTCATAATTTTAATGATTCAAACATATTGCATTGTTGAATTTGCATGGGGCAGTATGTTATTTCAGTTACCACTCAAATTTCTTTCCTATACATTAGGAATATCAGTATCACGATGTCCTTATCTTTGTAAGTCTCTCTAAATGCGCTGGTTTGGCACCCAGGTTGTGTGGCCAGAAATGTTGATGAATAATGGGATAAAATAAACTGCTCATTGCTTGTTGCTGAAACCCTTTAGTGTGAAAGGTGCCATCGTTTCACTAACAAACGCAATGTCATTTGAAAGGCGAATGTTACTAAGGAGTGTAATTTCCATAAGGTGAGCATTTGATGCAAAACTCGTTGAGCTAATGAATGGAATAAGCCTGCTGGCCAGTGCAAAAGCTCTGTTTTTGTATGAATGTCTCCACGTAATATTAAACTTGCCAGCTAACGCCTCGCATCTAAACGATTTGATGGTTGATATATAATATCCCTCGCCGAGCCCTGCATGTGTACAATACTGGTTGCCTGTTATTGTTGGTATATTTGAATAAATGAAGTGAATTCTATATTGCAGTGAAAATACAAACAAGTATAACGTGCGTCAAACGATTTGTCTTAAATACGAAGATGTTTTTTCGTTTTTTCCTGATAGTACAGTTGCTCTTTGTAGAGCCAAGAGACGTTAGCATTTAGTGTATTCATTTTAACCCGAATATACATTAAATCGCATCCAAATGTGTGGATTGTAGACGTCTATATGACTATACATCATAGGTGATGTTGGTTCTATGTTAATGGGCTTGCACCGTTATCGGCAACAGTGTTAGAAACTAGTACGCGAATGATTTAAAGTTTGTTAAACGTTCTATTGACATTTTGTCTGAGACATTTAGCAGTTAGTTTCAACAGCTTAATTGGTCGAGCGTCGCACCTATCAGAAACATGCCATTATATTTAGCTATGACAATAACTCTAATATAAAACATTGTTTAATAAGCTATCATAATATCATAAGCTGCACTGCGTCGATAATAATTTACAGTATCTGCACCAATCGGGGTGCACTAGACGGCAAGCAATTTTACACTCGTGTCCTCTCTATTCCAAACTGCTTAGCCATGGGGCCGGTACACACTCATTGGCGCTGGCTACGCGCGTATTCTCTATTCATGTTATAGATGTATATTCTTTACACTGCTGAACTTCCGCAATTTCCCATAAAAATGCAGACTACTATTCGCAGTATTAAATGGCCTTCGTTCATCGCTGTGCGGGCGAGCGGCTACGTTAAACATTCACGCATATCAGAATTCAAACTGGCCGTTTAACAGCATTTTCATTGGAATATTTTAAAGCTGCTATACAACATATATCTGCTTAAGCTTTTTTTTTAAATAATACACGGTCACAGTAGCGGATAAAACTGTTAAATACGTAATGTGGACATCACATTACGTGGACGTTGTCTCGTAACAGTCTCACCGTATGTGGGTGGTTGATTAATAATAGTTAACCACCATGAATCTTTGCTGAACCTTGTAAATTTGCAGAAACAAAGCTGACCGTGCCTACGGAACAAATTCTAACGGAGCAGAACTATTTCTAATTTAATTTAAATGGTCTCATCACAACGTGTGCTAGTAGCGATTGGCGCGTTGCTTCTTTCTTGCACACTTCGTGGCGCCCTGGATTCTCCTGGAACCATTTTGGGTTTGTTCCATTCGTAGAGGTTATGGTGAGGAGTGCACGTTTTTAAGGTCAAGATCTTGAGCCACCGATCATGAATTCTCTTTACAGCATTTTTTAAATATTTAATCTACACGTTATCGGCCTCTACAATATTTACCCCCCCCCCTAAAGTACAGCGTTATCCCGTCCCCCCTACTTGAGCATGACTTTCAAAATGTAGGCCGTTGACAACTTTGCACTCGTATATACAAGATAGGTGCCGCCACCAGTTGAAAATGCCTCCCAGTCGGTACTCGCTGTCGTCTCTAACGAATGTACCTGCAACACAATTTCGAGTTTTTAGAGCGCTACAGCGTATTGCATGGTATATTGAACAAGTTCCAGCACGCCTCATCTTATCAGTCATTGCTAACATTGTATAACATGCCAACATTTTGGGCTTCTTTATTCAAGCAGAAAACCAATGAGGGGGAAAACGGGGGTGATTTCAAGTTTCCCAGGTAAAAATATGCCATTTCCCAGGCCCGAAATTTGATTTATCGAATCACGAAAATTTATCCGGTATTTTCCGGTTCCCAGTTAATTAAAATGGTGTAATCCCGCGTCCCGAAAATAACCGTTCACCATCACTATTCTTCTAACACTATTAATGTCGACCGCGCATTCATCACTTACAAGCATGCTAAGATTAACATATATAATAATGTATAACTTAATATAATATAATATAATATAATATGATATAATATAATATAATATAATATAATATAATATAATGTAATGTAATGTAATGTAATATAACATAACATAACACAACACAACACAACACAACACAGCACAGCACAGCACAGCATAACATAACATAACATAACATAACATAACATAACATAACATAACATAACATAACATAGCACCAGGAGTGTATAATAGGAGTGTATATTATGTACTCCTGATAACATAATGTGTAGCCCTATGTTTCATAACTTATGATGATACTGGGACGCGGTAATCGTTGTTTTCTACGTACCCGAACAAACTTCTCTGCACCCTGCCAACGGTAGACGCTGCTGTGGCCAGGATAGCGGGGCGTCTCCTCGTCCTTCTGCGCGTTGGACACGATCAAATATGTGCTGTCGCCTACCTTGAATGACTCCCAGTCAGTAGCGCTGCAAGGACGTAGGGACAATAACTTACTTAGCGAATTAATCGGGTGCCTGCAATTACTACCAAACAGTGATAGAGTGCAGCTATTTACTAAGCGAGGAAACTGCCAACCGAGGGGAAAAAAAAATAGAAAAAAGCCAAGTTGAGGCTGTCATTCATATCCAAGTAAATCTGCTGAGAGAGTTGTAAGCTTAGTGTTTTTCAGATCATTTTTGAAGGTTGACGTAAAGAGGTTTTGCGCTGCATAGAAAGCATGAAGAGATCGTATCGATTAACAGGACGAAGTAGACGTAGAAGAGGACAATAATTTCGATTACAAATCACAACATTATTCATCACTTTTGTTGCTACACAGTTGGTATTTGGTTCCTGTAAATTATACTATGGAGGTCAAACTAACACCACTTCTTGTCACGATTATAAGCTGTAACCCACGATATTGAACCGTAGCTGGTTCCGGTAATTTCCTGAGGAAAATAATCAGTTCCGAAATTCCTAAGGTAGTTTGGTAAATGCTGATGAATTCCAACTGACCTTCGCGTCAAGATATCTTGGTATTTCTCGAACATGCCCTGTTCCTTGTTGAACTTGTAGATGGACGAATTAAGGAAGTAGGGCGCCATGTTCTGCTTGTTTTGCGGGCCATAATTGTAGGAGTTAGCCACGGCCAGATAGACGTCGTCTTTCACAGTGAAGAACTCCCAGTCCACGGCACCTATCGTCTGCAACAGAGTTGTAAGAGTTTTTTTAAACCTGTGTTTTCTCTCTTTAATGGAAGAAAATGGGAAATAGCGACAAAAGAAACAGTAAGGTAGAGAGATTGTCAGGCGCGTGCGCATACCCCACACACGCACACACTCACGCAGCCACAGACAGGCACTGCGTACACACATACGCATGCACACGCGCGTACATGCGCATATAACTAGACGAGGCTCACATATGCTCGCACGCTCGCACGCACACGCACACGCACACGCACACGCACACGCACACGCACACGCACACGCACACGCACACGCACACGCGCGCGCACACACATACATCTTGACGCGTGCAAACTCGTGCCACGTCTTAAACACGCAACGCTTGGTGGCTAATTGCACGCAATATTTACAACGTGCACACATTACAATGTTATACGTGACAGGTTCGGTGTAAGTTACGTTATATAATTTGGTTATTTCATCTACCGATAATGATGTTTTCATTGCGAGTAGCGGCGGCGGCTGCTGCTGGCATATGCTTCTTGCTTCTATGTTATTTGCATAAACCATAATTCATATGAGCTAGTTCACGGCTATATTTGACACTTGTGCGCGTTTCAAATCAAGCGGGTTATGCTGATGATGTAAAATTAGTAATCTAAAATTATTAGTGATTTGAGCATGCATATTGAACCCATGTAAATTTTAATATCGTTTGATCAATGCCCATTTTAGAGATGAAAAATTTCATACAAAGTGCGCAGTAGTGGCGCCATCTAGAACAGCTTTGCCATCGTCTGCGAACCCAGAGCAGCTGGCCTGCGCGCGCGAGGTTATTAGCGTATTCGGCGGCAGCAGCAATAACGGCGAGACAGACGCAGGAATGCGGGCGTGTGTTCGGAGGTGTTGATTAGCTACAATCCTTAGCCGAGTGAGAAATGGCCGAGTCTCGCCTCATCAATGTTCCAGCGCAATTTGTTAGTCGTGCGCCTTTGTAATTCTGCTTCTTATGGCCCGTCGTTAGCGATCATGAGTGTCGGTAATGAAGCCTGGTTAAGCAGCGGCTGCGTGTCGTCCATTGCGACCGCGCCGTACGCCCGCCATGACAGTGGCCTGACCACCCATTGAGAGCACGATGAATGGTGCATGGGCGCGGAGCAGCACATCTTGTCTCTGTACATTGCCGCGGCGACGATTTAACTACTCATTTGTCGATCTCTTTAGTTGCCCGCGCGTCTGTCTTTACAAACGAGAGTTTAATCGCTAACACTGTTTCTAAGTGCTAACACGAAGCAAGACTTTGAAACACGTTGAGCTATAATACCAAGATAGTATGGTTGTGTTACGTGTGCGTTATACACTCATATATGTACATATATGTGGGTGTGTTGTGTGTGTGTGTGTGTGTGGTGTGTGTTGTGTGTGTCGTGCGTGCGTGCGTGTGTTGTGTGGTGGGTGTGTGTGTGTGGTGTGTGTGTGTGTGTATGTGTGTGTGTGTGTGTGTGTGTGTGTGTGGTGTGTGTGTGGTGTGTGGGGTGTGTGTGTGTGTGTGTGTGCGTGGGTATGGACCAGTGGAAGGTGTGATGTGTAGAGGTGGGGTTGCTAGGGCGCTGGCTGCTTGACGTGTGGTGTAATAAACCAGAGTGTTTTCAATGATGAGAAATAAAATATAGGGCAAGCTGACAGCATACATTCATTAGGCGGGGCGCGCCGTGTCTGTGATTATATGCAAACCCGTATAGACAGCCATCATCGACCCCAGCTCGCAGCACCAAGCCCAATCGTTTATATTACACGCTAAAACAGTTTTGGCTAATTAGCAGCGTCCTGCGTTAATTATTCAATGTTGCGGATGGGAAAGCTGGGCCTAGGCTTTCTCGTCGCGTCACGCCGATCTGGTGGTGAGGGGGTGCGTGTACCGCTGTTTGTGAAGGGTTGAAGTCGTATTTGCTGAGTAGTGGTTGCGTGTATCAAATTAATATTTGGTCGGGGTTGTGTGTATACGCGTGTTGCGTGTGGTGGCGTGTATATTGCCTGTTTGCGGTGTGGTTGCGGTATATTGCTGTTGGCCGGTGTGGTGCGTGGTATATTGCTTGGTTTGGCGGTGTGGTTGCGTGTATATTTGCCGCTGTTGGTGGTTGTTGCGTGGGTATAGTGCTGTTTGGTGTGTGGTTTGCGTGTATATTGCTGTTTGTG